TACTATGGGAGGTGATGGTAAGAAAGAACTATCAGTAGGTGACTGATACCTCACATAATTTGTTTTGTTGAATGAATGTGTTCATACTGCTGGGCTTTTTCCACCTGCTGTAAATGACCTTCATGGGAACAACGAAGTACTCAGCCGATAATAGATTGCACCGTTATCATCTGGATTAAAAACGTAGGCTGTGTAATAGATTATTTGTTAAGGTTGAATGATATGAATAAGGACAATAAATGACGTCCGAAACGGTGGTCTCGCTTTAATGTTCTCCGAGTGTTACTATCTTGTTTCGCACGTTTTTAACATCAAGCTTGAAGTGAGCTTTAATCTGAGTACGTCACAAAGCCTGGTTGCGGATGAAACGTCGATGACAATATATCAAGCCTTAGAGAACATTCAGCTACCATGATCTTCATCCTGAGCAACAAATTGCTTAAGAAGATATTAAAGACTGAATTTATCTGCTGTGCCATTGTGAACGATTTTCAGTCATTTCACAAAAAGTCGAGAATCACTGATTCCTTTCGTCTCGTGAAGCTCAACCATATAATCTACATCTCCTTATTCGACTCAGACCAACTGTCAGTGATTACATCGACTGGTGAATCCCCTTCGAACACTATCCGGATCTTCCTTAGCATGGGGACAAATCAATTTACAGATAAACGATCAAATAAGCTCACTCGACAAAAAACCTAGTGGTCGATTCTACCAACTGCATTAATAAACATACTTAAAAACAATTCTGTAGCAAGTGCGCATCTGTTCGTAGTTTCTTTCCTCAAACATGTTTGCGCAAAAAGTATCAGAAAACACAATATGACTGGTGTAGGAACATGTTTTAGGACTCATATTAACGATTTCCGAAGTTAAACACAGTTAACTGAAACTGGATTTATTTCAATATATATTATTGTTTCATCTTAATATATGACTCCTCAGCAGTGCTGAATCATGTCCTCGCACATCAGGGATCGAACCAAGTACTTTCAGGTTCTGTGGCCAGCAAGTTACCATTGAGCCACTGGATCGGAATCCAATCGTCCATATTTCCAACTTCTGTCAGTTAATGACAATGACAACGATTACATTGGGTGACGATCACGCTTCGTGGCTCGATGTTAACGTGTTGGTCACATGACCTGAAGGCTTTGGGTTCGACCCCTGCGGTGCGAGGTCATGGATGCGCATTGATGAGGAAACTCATACTACAACGAAACAGCTATACAGTCCTCCCAGACTTCCAGTGTTTCTCCAAATTATCTCAGTCCATGATGAATACTAACTTCAAATATTCTAGTTGATTGTTTCCGATGCTTTTTAACCAATATGTTCTATTTCTCTTTCGAGCAATTATGATATGATTGACTGTAAATGCTTTGTCACATTCGTGGTTCTGTATGTTGAGACTTCTAATGAGCATTAGTACCATTGCTATTCCGTTACACAACTATTACTAGGTAGTTAGTTGAATTTGGAGGTTTCCAGGGGATTCATCGTGTTCCAAATTGCATTCATCATTGACTAACAACATTCAGAGATGCACTGAATGCGCAAACTAAGTAGGACGGAAAGATAGGTACTCAGTGACGGCATAGGATGAAAGTCGCGCTTTATCGCTAAAACACAAAAGTAGGATTCAAGCCCAGTAACCTAGTGGTAACGTGTTCATCTTGAAGGCCGAGGGTGGGTTCATAGATGTGCACTGCTAACAAGTCTTATTCTACGGCCAAACAACTGTTCAGTGCTCCTGTGCTTCCCATTGTTCCCTGTCTGACGAATGTTGGGTATTTAGGTTTACTTCTAAATTACCAGAATTAATACATTTCCACAGTGCTGAGTAGGTAATGTTCATATTGTATGGTACAACTCGGTTACATCTACCTAACGAATAATAATAGGCCGCTTCGTTTAGTTCTGGCAGACATCATGTGGAGAAAATATCAGTAGGTTGTCTTCCTACGGCCATCCAGCACATTATGTACACAAAATGATTTAAACTACTAGTGTAATAAGTGCTTGATTTTGTTATGCCATACAGCTGAATTAAAGAGGCGTGTTTCGTCGTGATTTTGACCACTTATTTTGTTCACTAACTGATAGGATAAACCGTTACAAGTCAAGTGTCTGTTCAACTGGATTCAAAGAAGGTGTAAATATGATACTTGAGAAGACACACAATTCACCCAGTTCTTAAGAAAGTCGTCCATAACATTTTATCGTTTATAGGTGATTCACAAAGTCCGACAATTAAACAAAAGCTGAAGTCAGTCATTTGAAGGATACACTATGCAGCAAAGGTCATTAGCATAAAGGAAATGAAACCAATGTAATCCTGTAAACCTTCACAGCATTCACATGATAGGATCACATCCAATTGAGTTTGTATATTCGTTAACATAAAAGGATGCATCGATCTATGCTAGTAAGAGCTATAGGACACACTCCAAATTGGCTACAACAACAAAGTGGAAGGTCTCATTGACCTTATGTCCATAGCCAAGTATATCATTGAAACAGGTCAAAAGGTTAGTTTGTATGCATCTTTTAAACCTATTTACAAAATTAATTGGAGGTATACATTAAGCTTCATTGAGACTCTAGGTATGAGGCCTATTAACAAGGGTGATTAATATACTATCATTCTCTTTCAGTGTAACCTAATAACTTGACCCATTATTACATAGATTACTTTCTTAAACTACTTTATCCTTTTTGGTATTTCAGCTAAATATGTATGGTAAATAGTGTGTACTGGATTCGAGTCTCAGTGAGAGCAATATCACTCATTGGGAGGCAGGTACACCCAGCTGACGAGTCCTAAATAGGAAAAAATTCATGTCACAGCTTCTACTTCCAGCCACTACTCATCATTAGTACTAAGAGTGAAACTCACTCACTCACTCACTCAAGCCAAGATTGCATCGGTGTTGTAGAAAACAAAAAACTGTTCTATTTGGAGGCTTGTGAGGATTTGTTGGTTGATTTCAGGTTGGTATTCATCATTGGAAGAAATTTGGAACCAAAGCGAACTAACGGCTTCGCAGCAACAGACCCAACGTTCTAGTTACGCGTAAAGCCAAGAACAAACGATTTGTTCGAGATACAGCTGTATATTAATAAACAGTATTGAGTTACAAAATACAAACCTTGAATCACGAGGAATTTGCGGGTTTATGCCTTTCAATGCACTTGCAAAGGGTGCGCCAACAGTAAAAGCATCAAGGCTGTGTTCAGACAGCCAGAAGGAAATATAAAAGACGCATGTGTGTTCCAACAATGAAGTAAAGACACAAGATAAACTAATGTTCAAGGTAAAATCGAACATCAGGGAACAGCGAAAGAAATTACAATAGCATCATGAAGTATGAAACATACTAATATTTATGGCGGTTAAATAGTGGTCAGGATACAATGAATGGGACAATGAATGATAAAGACTGATGGTTAGCAACATTATAAGGTGGCGTGGACTAGACGACTTAAACATACTAAGTAGTATAAAATTAAAGATAAAAAAGGGAGAAAAAGGGTAACATTCCATAAAAAGTAAATAAGGAATTAACTGTGTTACTTCTAGAGGTGAAAAATACGATCGTGTCTACAGATGGAGGTGATTACAGTTCTATGGATGATTACCGAAAATCGTTCCTTCTAACTAAAATGTGTGAAAAACTTGTTTCTGGAGACAACGTGTGAATTAACTTCACTTGTAGCGGTAGTATGACACATTACCAATGTAGTGGCGAATAATTATGCTAAATCAATAGCCGACGGTTCAGTAATATCACACATTGTTACCCATCGTGCTACGTTTAACCCAACTGTTTGATCAAAGGTCTACAGTCAAGTATATACCGATAAGTATATGGTTCTTATGTAGCTAAGTTACTGTTTTTTCTTCCGTTTACTTTCATGGATACCCGAGAAGTATATGGATTACATGATATCTTACGACAAACTAAAGGAGTCGTTGAGAATACCAGCTTTGCATCGATTTTTACACAATATAAGTGTCCAACAGTTAACAGAGGGTGTATGGGAGTCGTCTGGACCATATGTCATAGCTCAACGGTTTCGCATTGAAGCTAACTATAAACGTCTACAGAAGCAATGACTTGACGTTGGTGTTGAAAATCCGTATCTTGTTCCGCATGCTGAGTGCAGAAGATCTCCACACTGGTTTCAGGCTAATGAACGTCTGTCCTGCTTTTCCGATTCTGACTTTGACATCCTCGTCTGTGCCTGTGCTGCCTGTAGTTGAAACAGTGCTTCCTAGATAAGTGAAGGAGGTTACTTCCTTTAAGTTTCTCCCGTTGATAGTGACTGGAGTTTGGTCTATGTCTAGTTGCAAATAATTACGACCTAGTTTAGGATACCAATAGAGTCAAGGAAGAAAAATTTGTAAATTGCAATTAGCTTCAAAAGTGGTTACCTGTGTGAAATAAATAGGGGGAAAACTGCAGAGAAGTAGCTACAGGTAAGATGGCTGGCATGACTATGGAAACTACCCCCCCCCAAGAATAACAAGTACACAGTAGATACTACTTATTAGAAACAATATCAGTAGTATACAGTAGAACGTCGAAAAATAGAAATGGACACATTTTGTTTATTGTAACACCGTTGCACCTAGCACCTAGCCTCGCTTCTTGACTTCTGAATCCCGCAGGTGAATTGTTTAGCTTATTGAGTCACGTGATAACTTCAATTTAATTGAATGTCTGTACACGAATAAATTTCATCATGTGTGCTGTTTGTATCACATACAATCAACATCTTTTTCACGTGATTAATAGACAAGTTGATTGTTACACAGACGGACAGCGTATGGAATGATTGGCAAACAACAAACTTCCATAACAAGGACTGTGATACGTGGGTGTAGAGAACGTGTACATATAAATTGAACCAATCACAATGTGAGCAGATTCGTTCAACGAAAACCAGTCTGCATTACACTGATTTTGTCATTTTCGTGACAAACGAATAAGATACTTTCATATTCTCGTTGATATCATCAATTGATAGGTAAGTAGAAGTTTATTTTCTAGTTTGTGTTGGTTATATATTATTAATAATCACTTGCTCTGTTGTTGTTCTAACATCCAGCAACTTGAGACCACCTAGTGTGTAGCACAATTAATACTGGTATAAAATTAGGACCCCCTCTGGAGATCAGGTCATAAAGGAGATATAGTGAGTGAATGAAAATTCTTACCTACAACTTATTTAGTCAACAGTTTGTAAAACGTGATTGATTTAGGCATCATATGAAAAGATTCACCTTATAATGTCAAATGCTTCTCAGTAGGAATCGCCAAGTCATCGACGAGGTGTAATTTAATCCTGCTTTCTTTTCTTACCTTGATTGTTCAATCAGAACGAAATCGGTGTGAGTTTAACTCTGTTTTGGTGTTTTTGCTGGAAATTAATCCATTCTCATGATGTGTATATAGATCGTGATCAAAATGGACTCAGTAACCTTGTATACATTCGTGCAGTAAATAATAAGTCACACCTATCCTATGGGTTCCTAATGGAACATAGGGCTTCACTAGCACGTCTGCATTGCATTCTCTTCTCTCCAGTCTTCTCAACCTGGCTCCATGACTGCCCACAACCTCTCATTTCCTCTTCACATGATCTCCTCCATGTCACTCTCGGACGTCCAACTCGTCGCTTCCAAAATGGGTCCCGCTCGATGACCTTGCCTGGCGTGTGATATCCCCAGTCGGCCTTCTCAGTGTATGTCCAATCCATCTCCACTTTATTCTGCAAATTTGTTAAGTGATTGGTTCTTGGTTAGTTCGTTCCCAGAGTTCCTTTACTGTATACTTAACTTGGTACTAAGTGTTTAGACTTAGTCACAACAAGTTGAAACGCTCATCATCACACTCAGTGAACTTTAAGGTTAAGCTGCTTTCATTGATGGCTGATGAATACTGAAAAAAATACAGAAAAGTTATGATGAGACGTGAGACATTCATGTAGTTCCTTTTAAAGCCATTTTTCATGTTCGAGCAATGGTTGAAGGTGTCAAATCAACGACCTCCAGGTTCTTGTCTGGGTGCTCTATCATCTGCCATGAGCAAATGTTCGTTCATGGCATTCACACAGGTTGCCCAATCAGATTTCTTCCTCCAAACCTAACTCGAGCTGAATTAGAGAGGCCTTGTATCTGTGACTTGGTAAACTCTTGTCATTGATACTGTGTGATGATTAAAGGTGAAGTGAAAATCTGTGTCGCTATTAGGTTTAGACCAGCGGCCTTCAAGATACCTACCTGTTGTTCTGCTGACTGAGTTGTGGAACTCATCTACCTGTAATCCAGGAACTGCTGGTTCGAATCCTCCCCATTACCAGTAAGACGAGTCTGTCAAACCACGACCACCTGAGATAGTCACACTGTTAATTGTACATATCCATCTATCACTCTGACATTTCAAACAGCTTCTGACTGACTTGTGTCCAGATTTCAGACGGGTAATTCCAAGGCAGATAGAGGAGAAAGAGCAACTGAGTTTGGTGCCGACAGTTCACTTAACCACCAGAGGACTATGCCAGAGTAATAATACAAGATAGGAAAGTGAGTCAGTAATTCAGCAAACAAACAAGATGAAATGAAGTTTTACTGGGCGAAGACCTGAAATGGAAACGGAATAACACCTAGATTACATTAGAATTCAAATTAAAACAAGTTTTCAGATATCTGAATACCATTGGTACAATTTGTTAAATTTTGATGCATTGAGATGTACTGATTTCTGTTTCATTGGGTTAACTGACAAATTTATGGACAAATTACTGAAATCCAAGTAGGCACTACACAACATGATTGAAAATACTTTGCAATCAGATAGCCTTTATATTTAATGTATAAAAGAATAAATGAATGAATATGTAAGTTGATGTTAAATTTCGTACACATTCAAGTATCAATTATACAAAATGCAATACACAGACACACATACACACACAAGGTTTTTCAGATGTCTAAGCAACACTACCAGTTACAATTAGCTACAACATCACCTTGAGTATTTTAGGTCATTAAAAACAGAACAGTTTTTTATAAGTTGGAATTCATCATAGACTGATTTCAGTTAGAGGAAAGCTGGAAACTTGGGAGTACTAGACAAGTATTTGGTCCTACTATGAGACTCCTTAGCAGTGCTCACCTATGAATACCAACCTGAAATTAATAAATCCCCACTAACCTCAAAAGTACATAATTCTACGGCTCATTAGTGACTCGCTTCGATAGGGGATTCCCTTAGTTCCATTCAGAAGTCATCACCAGTGGAATAAACCAAATCGAGCATGAGGACAGTTACTCAACGACGGTGTTGGTGGGAGGTCGTGCTATATCTTGAAGTGACAGAAGTAGGAAATATGAACCGTTGAATTCTGACCCAGTGACTGAATGGTAACGTGCTAGATGTGAAACCTAGAGCTGCTGGGTTCGATTGGTAGGGTGAGGGGTCGCATACTAGGACAAAACGGCTGTCCAGTGTTCCCAGGTTTCCAATGATGAAAACCAACCTGAAATCAACCAACAAATCCTCACAAGCCTCCAAATAGAACAGTTTTTTTGTTATCTACAACACCGATGCAATCTTGGCTTGAGTGAGTGAGTGAGTGAGTGAGTGAGTTTCATTCTTGGTACTAATGATGAGTAGTGGCTGGAAGTGGAAGCTGTGACATGAATTTTTTCCTATTTAGGACTCGTCAGCTGGGTGTACCTGCCTCCCAATGAGTGATATTGCTCTCACTGAGACTCGAATCCAGTACACACTATTTACCATACATATTTAGCTGAAATATCAAAAAGGATAAAGTAGTTTAAGAAAGTAATCTATGTAATAAGGGGTCAAGTTATTAGGTTACACTGAAAGAGAATGATAGTATATTAGTAACCCTTGTTAAGAGGCCTCATACCTAGAGTCTCAATGAAGCTTAATGTATACCTCCAATTAATTTTGTAAATAGGTTTAAAAGATGCATACAAACTAACCTTTTGACCTGTTTCAATGATATACTTGGCTATGGACATAAGGTCAATGAGACCTTCCACTTTGTTGTTGTAGCCAATTTGGAGTGTGTCCTATAGCTCTTTCTAGCACAGATCGATGCATCCTTTTATGTTAACGAATATACAAACTCAATTGGATGTGATCCTATCATGTGAATGCTGTGAAGGTTTACAAGATTACATTGGTTTCATTTCCTTTATGCTAATGACCTTTGCTGCATAGTGTATCCTTCAAATGACTGACTTCAGCTTTTGTTTAATTGTCGGACTTTGTGAATCACCTATAAACGATAAAATGTTATGGACGACTTTCTTAAGAACTGGGTGAATTGTGTGTCTTCTCAAGTATCATATTTACACCTTCTTTGAATCCAGTTGAACAGACACTTGACTTGTAACGGTTTATACTATCAGTTAGTGAACAAAATAAGTGGTCAAAATCACGACGAAACACGCCTCTTTAATTCAGCTGTATGGCATAACAAAATCAAGCACTTATTACACTAGTAGTTTAAATCATTTTGTGTACATAATGTGCTGGATGGCCGTAGGAAGACAACCTACTGATATTTTCTCCACATGATGCGTGCCAGAACTAAACGAAGCGGCCTATTATTATTCGTTAGGTAGATGTAACCGAGTTGTACCATACAATATGAACATTACCTACTCAGCACTGTGGAAATGTATTAATTCTGGTAATGTAGAAGTAAACCTAAATACCCAACATTCGTCAGACAGGGAACAATGGGAAGCACAGGAGCACTGAACAGTTGTTTGGCCGTAGAATAAGACTTGTTAGCAGTGCACATCTATGAACCCACCCTCGGCCTTCAAGATGAACACGTTACCACTAGGTTACTGGGCTTGAATCCTACTTTTGTGTTTTAGCGATAAGGCGCGACTTTCATCCTATGCCGTCACTGAGTACCTATCTTTCCGTCCTACTTAGTTTGCGCATTCAGTGCATCTCTGAATGTTGTTAGTCAATGATGAATGCAATTTGGAACACGATGAATCCCCTGGAAACCTCCAAATTCAACTAACTACCTAGTAATAGTTGTGTAACGGAATAGCAATGGTACTAATGCTCATTAGAAGTCTCAACATACAGAACCACGAATGTGACAAAGCATTTACAGTCAATCATATCATAGTTGCTCGAAAGAGAAATAAAACATATTGGTTAAAAAGCATCGGAAACAATCAACTAGAATATTTGAAGTTAGTATTCATCATGGACTGAGATAATTTGGAGAAACACTGGAAGTCTGGGAGGACTGTATAGCTGTTTCGTTGTAGTATGAGTTTCCTCATCAATGCGCATCCATGACCTCGCACCGCAGGGGTCGAACCCAAAGCCTTCAGGTCATGTGACCAACACGTTAACATCGAGCCACGAAGCGTGATCGTCACCCAATGTAATCGTTGTCATTGTCATTAACTGACAGAAGTTGGAAATATGGACGATTGGATTCCGATCCAGTGGCTCAATGGTAACTTGCTGGCCACAGAACCTGAAAGTACTTGGTTCGATCCCTGATGTGCGAGGACATGATTCAGCACTGCTGAGGAGTCATATATTAGGACGAAACAAAAATATATATTGAAATAAATCCAGTTTCAGTTAACTGTGTTTAACTTCGGAAATCGTTAATATGAGTCCTAAAACATGTTCCTACACCAGTCATATTGTGTTTTCTGATACTTTTTGCGCAAACATGTTTGAGGAAAGAAACTACGAACAGATGCGCACTTGCTACTGAATTGTTTTTAAGTATGTTTATTAATCCAGTTGGTAGAATCGACCACTAGGTTTTTTGTCGAATGAGCTTATTTGATCTTTTATCTGTAAATTGATTTGTCCCCATGCTAAGGAAGATCCGGATAGTGTTCGAAGGGGATTCACCAGTCGATGTAATCACTGACAGTTGGTCTGAGTCGAATAAGGAGATGTAGATTATATGGTTGAGCTTCACAAGACGAAAGGAATCAA